AGTGAGATGACAAAACTGTTCGTTGGTTAAAGTTGACCTAGCGACAATCCATTTTGTCGTTGCACAAACCTTCAGGTAATTACACGCCATTTTATTTCTCTTGGCATTGAGAACTTGCTTAACAAATGTAGCCTTACCCTAAGAACTTGTTCGTCTCGTAAAAGGTTTAATTAAACCTCAAATGTTAACCAACTTTGCTCTACTAACTAAAAAATCCGTCGAGTAAAGAGCCTTTACCTGACGAAATCTTCTCTGTCGGGCAATATTTTGTAGAGCAAGCCTTATTTTCTGATAGTGGTAGAATATTTTCTTTTATACATAACTATTAATTTACCCTTACTCCACTTGATATGAAACACTTCAAGTATTGAAACCTTCTGAAAAAAATATCTCTTTCTTGCCATCTGATACACATACATATTCAATAGTTTCTCTCTGCAGCCTTTATACTTAATATACTTTTTATTATTTAAATTATTCAGAAAAGGAAGTGCATACCGACATACCATAGTGGTACGAGATTAATAATCAGTAAACTAATTAAAAGATAAGGTATTGAAACTATATATATTGTTTCTGTTTTGGTTACCCATTTTCTTTGTTTTGGTCGAGAACTGAGGTGGACGTATATAATACATAGGTGAGGTGACAGTTACAACTTCCATCTAATTAGCTGACTATTTGTAGCAAAGTAGAGGAGACAGAGGAAATGTCCTTTTTACGGTCGAGGGTGTCTGGGTGCCCAATCCTCGTATGACTGCCTATTTGGGAAACCTTACTAATTTCTTTCCTATTATTCTTTGTCATCCACTCCCCTCTGCATCAACTAATTGGAACTTGGTCATTACATAGTACTATCGATCTGGGCATATTGTATAATAATATAGCCACTTGCTCACCCACTTTTCAAAACCCTCATTGGTCAGCTAGCTAGCTGGTAGCTACAATCGATCCGAATCCAACTTGGTTGGCGAGCTTCATATATTTGGAGGTAGCAAAAGATGCATGGGCAAAATAACACTCAAGTGTTCTAGTCAAAGTACTGAACCTGAAACTGGGTTTGTGATTTGAGTAGTTAAATAGTATTCAGACATTTCTCTCCACAGGTTTTATTAGGTTTAATTATTGTCAAAGGGAAATTCGAATATAATTATGACTAGTCCATTATGAGTTTCATCATATTCTCTAACTTCTTTGTGTAGATAAATATTAAATGGATTAAAAATAGTATTTATATTAGCATACAAATCCCTAAACCTAAATGACAAATATCGTACTTAATACTAAATAAATACATGTATTATAATTTGGTTAAAGTGATTTTGTGGTAACATTATCTAGGCATTTAAGATGCCAGATGGTATATTTAACTGTCACACACAATAGTTTGTTTTTATTGAGAAGCACTGGAATAATTCGATTCCCACTTCATTTATTTTTTTGAGTATGATGTTATTTTACTTGTTTGAAGAACCTTCAAACATCATTCTGAATTTTTTTTTCGATATTGTAATTCTTATGTAAGTAACAATCGAATCTCTTCATGCTTTCCCTCAAATATAATTCCACAAATTTAGAAGGTAAGCTTTGAGAGAAGACAAACTTTTAATCATTTATTAAGACTCCCACTTGGAGTACCTAATCTACCTTATCTAAGCTCAAGTTTCCTTTTCAACCGTAAATTATATATATATATATATATATATAGTTAATTATTCCTAAAAGTCAATGGCATTGAATTATTATTCGCCAACCCTTTCAAAATTTAATAATGGGGTTTTTTTAACTTTAACCTTCAAGAAGAATAAAATTTAAAATAAATCTGTTGTTAGATTATATATTGATTGTGACATCCCACATCGTACAGGAGAGTGATCCTTATATGTATATTCTCATCCCTACGTAACACGATGCTTTTGGGAGCTCACTGGCTTTGTGTTCCGTAGGAACTCCGAAGTTAAGCGAGAAAGGGGTTAGAGCAATCCCATGATGGGTGACCCACTAGGAAGTTGCTCGTGAGTTCCCACATCGCCCAGGGGAGTGATCCTTATATGTATATTTCCATCCCTACCTAACACGAGGCCTTTTGGGAGCTCACTGGCTTTGGGTTCCATCGGAACTCCGAAGTTAAGCGAGTAGCACGCGAGAGCATTCCTAGGATGGGTGACCCATCGAGAAGTTGCTCATGAGTTCCCACATTGCCCAGGGGAGTGATCGTTATATGTATATTCCCATCCCTACCTAACACGAAGCCTTTTGGGAGCTCACTGGCTTCGGGTTCCATCAGAACTCCGAAGTTAAGCGAGTAGCGCGCGAGAGCATTTTCAAGATGGGTGACATATCGGGAAGTTCTCATGTGAGTTCCCAGAAACAAAACTGTGAGGGCGTGGTCGGAGCCCAAAGCGGACAATATCGTACTACAGTGGTGGAGCGGGCCCGGGAAGTGGTCCCCCTCGGGTCGGGATGTGACAATTTGGTATCTGAGCCTAACCCTGGCCGTGGTGTGCTGACGAGGACGTCGGGCCCTTAAGGGGGGTGGATTGTGACATCCCACATCGCCCAGGGGAATGATCCTCATATGTATATTCCCATCCCTACCTAATACGAGGCCTTTTGGAAGCTCACTGGCTTCGGGTTCCATCGGAACTCCAAAGTTAAGCAAGTAGCGTGCGAGAGCATTTTCAGGATGGGTGATCCATCGGGAAGTTCTCATGTGAGTTCCCAAAAACAAAACCGTGAGGGCGTGGTCGGAGCCCAAAGCGGACAATATCGTGCTATAGTGGCGGAGCGGGCTCGGGAAGTGGTCCCCCCAGGTCGGGATGTGACATTGATTATAGTCCCTTGATGTGTCCTTAATTCAAAATAATTAATGTGCATTTTATTTAATGTCTCCCATTAAATATTTAAATTTATTAACATACAAATTTTAATTTATTTTTTGACCCAAAAAAACAAGTTTTTTTATTTACTTTATTAATTTTATTTAACATTCTTCAAACTTGAAAGACTTAGTTAATGTATCTAAATGTATATATCGAAATGTATTTGTGGAGTAAAAAATAATCAACAAAAATATGGAGGTGACACGTGGATTTTTGGGTTAAAAAGACAAGATTACCTTCGAGGCACATCAAAACTCCTACGCACGAGTAGCAGGCAATCACCACTCAATCAAGATCAAAAGTGATCAAAATAGGTATTTATTCAAAACATATTTCATCCATCCTCATCAAATCCTCTCCACAAGGTAACTCCCAAATTATTTCTTTCAAATTATATTAGTTAGCTAATTAATTGATTTATTACTCAATTAATTTATTAATTAGCTAATTGATGGTAATTAACATAAAAAAATACCTTATATGGCCGGTCCCCATTCTCCTAATAGGGCCGGCCATCCCTTATAAATACCACTTCATTTTCTCCAAAAACCTAAGTTGAATTCCAAGCTTCTTGCAAAATTCTCTAAACACTTTTCTCTCAAAATTCTAACTTTGGCATCAGAGGTTCTTCGACCAAAGCCCCCCATTCATCGTGGGTGCATAAGGCTCTTGGCCTTGACCTAAGGTGTTAATTGTTTTTGCAGGTGCATTTTCATCCAAGAACAAGAAAGAAGAAATTTGCATCCACAAATTGGTGCGTTCATTGAAAGTCGTGATCAAACGCTCGTAGAAGACTCTCGCATTCAAGGTTTTTCGCTTTCTTGTTTATTTGTAGATTTTTCGTATGTTCTAATTCTTGGAATTTTTATTTCTAAAAATTCTTCGATAAAATGTAAAAGAAAAGTACAACGGCAAGAGATTCGGAAACCTCGACGAATGGAAATTCCAACGTTCAAGGATTATGGCCATGGCGATCTATAAGGCTCAACACAATAATGAGTGAAGTGGCACCACCCCTACAGGGCACCACTATGGTAACCACCACAGTGGCCACCATGGCGTTACCCTTGGCAAGGCCCACAGCACCACAACCATGGCCTAAGGCACCATAACCACGGCCTAAGCAGTGCCATTCAAGCCCAACACAAGCCCTAGCTTCGCACCCATGTGCGCCACACGCCGAGTAGCTAACTTCTGTGATTTAGCTTGCTCTCATGGCTTAGCCTGCTCCCGTGGCCTTCTAAGCAGCCCAAATCGGTCTAAGATTGGTTCAACCGTCTAGGCTTCAGCCTACGATCAACAGGGGTCATTTTCATCATATCTCTCTGGGGATTTGACATTTCCTAACTCAAATCTTGTGCCTAGAGTCTACCATACTTCCACTATTCAAGGAGACGCATTCCTTCCAAGCTATTCGAATCCGAATGGCGAACAACACTTGTCTCGACAAGTCATAGAGCTGACAAGAGCCCTTGCATAACAAACGACCTTGGTGAATCAGCTCTTGCAGCGCACCGAGATCCAACATGCCCCAGACGAGGTGTCCCGAAGTAAGGAAAAGGCAGATGAGGAACCTTTCCAGCAGCGTCCCGATAAACAGCCACTCGACTAGCCATGAATCGAGGGTTCAGGCAGTTGCCCTCGAGATAGCGTACACTTCCGTCTTAACTCATTGAGGAGCATGCACTTTTGACTAGGCCTGCGGAAGAGCATACACTCACGGCTAGGGCCACACTTCGATAATCAACATGAGTAGTCTTCCAAGCAAAGCGTTCATGCATGGCTAGGCCCGTAAGGAACATCATCCATCCACATCACATCGGAGTAGGCAGCACGACGAATGAAGAGAAGCAGTCACTCAATCCGACTTAAGTTTAACCGGCATCTTACGAAGAACTCCCTTGCTTGCTAAGAACGGATCACATACACCATTGCAGCGGCATAGACGAGCCCAACATGTAGAAGAGCAGCCTAGACTAGCAGGTTAAGACCGGGGGTAGACAAGAGCTCCGCTACCCCTAACAAAGGCAAATTTAGGAAGAGGTAAAGAGGCTCTTAAAAGAGCGATTGCATGATTTCCAATACAACAAAGTGGCCAATGAAGCACTATGACAGGACATGACTGACATAAGTAGGTCACCCTTCACAGATGAGATCGAGCAGGCAGAGCCTCTACGCAAGTTTAGCATGCCATATTTCACATATTTCAAAGGAGATGGAGATCCAGATAGGTACTTGAAGCATTACCAAAGCACAATGGTCCTTTACCGTAACAAAGATGCTTTTATGTGTAAGATATTAGACACCACTTTGCAAGGCGAGGCGCAAGATTGGTTTCACACCCTACCGCCACGATTCATTGGGAGTTTTGACGATCTTTCTTTGGTTTTTACCAAAGAATACTCATCTTACCGCTCAATCAAAAAAAAGTCCGACCACTTGTTCAATGTGAAGAAGAACCCAAATGAGTCATTCCAAGACTACGTGAAAAGGTTTAAAGTAGAAAAGGCAAAGATAGTTAAATGCGACGACTCGATAGCAAGTGCAACCTTCGAAAAAGGACTCCTAGCAGACCACCTACTGTTCAGAAAGTTGATCATGAAAGAAGATCTAACTTAGGTAGACTCTTTTGCTCTGGCAGAGAAGCATGTACTTTGGGATAAGGCTTGACGAGAAGACAAAGGTGCCCGAACAGTCTCGAAAAGAGTCGGCGGTGGCTCAAAAGAAGGAAGATGGAAAACAGTTTAGCAAAAGCAGGTAGGAGGCCAAGCGTAAGGACCGACCCACGACTAAGGAAGGCTCGACAACCAGGAAGTACTCTAAGTTCTCAATCCTGATCTACCAAATCCTTCGCGATATCAAGAACGAGCCATGGTTCAAGTTGCTAAAACAATCAAAATGAGATACTTCCAAGCTAGATCACACCAAGTATTGCACATTCCATTGAGGACACAGTCATACAACCGACGACTGCTACACTTGGAAGAACTACCTAAAGAAGCTCATGAAAGGAGGCAAGGTCGACAGATACTTGGACAAACTAGCTGCGCAGCCTAAAAGGAACGCAAATGATAACGAAGAGCCGCCAGCCAAGACGATTAGGATTAATGTCATCTTTGTCGAATCCGAGCACTTAGAGGCCATCAACAATTCCAAAAAGAAGAAGATCCAGCAGGCTCTACTAGTCTCATAGGTCTAAGCAGTCGACACCCAACCTAGACCCATTGTTGGCTTCATTGAGCAGGATAAAGAAAGCGTCAACTTCCCACATGACGACGCACTAGTAGTATCTGTCCAACTAGCCTATACTATAGTTGACAGAATGATGATTCATAATGGAAGTGCAGTCAACCTACTTTAGCTCTTAGTAATTCAAAAATGGGCCTGAAAAACACAATCATACACCGAGCAGAGGTGCTCACCGGATTCAATAGGCACACCTCGACTGCCATAGGCCACATCACACTTGACATGAAAACATCGTCGACTGTCTCAAAGTAGACGTTCACGATCGTAAGTGACCCATCTCCCTACAATAGGATTCTTAGGAGACCTTGGTTGATTAAGTTGGATGTCGTCACTTCTGTCAAGTATCAAAAAATCTGATTCCGTATCTCGGGATGAGGAGTCGAAGAAATCAAGGCTGACTAGGCCGCATGTCGATGATGCACTGTGCAAGTATTAAAAGAATTAAAGAAGAAGATTTTTACCCCCGTAGAGGCTACTAAGGTCCAAAAGGACGAAAAAGCTACCAATAGCAATTACAACAAACAGATCAAGAAAATGATGCCCAAGCAGACGAGATAAGATGAAAACCCGAAGAGGACGCCGAAAACATCAATCTTGATCCCTAGCAGCTGGAAAAGATGGCTAGAATCGGCTCACGTCTAAGCCTAGCTGAGAAAGAATAACTCACGGCTTTCCTTAGAGAAAATCATGATATCTTTGCATGGTCACCTTTCGACATGCTCGGCATCGATTCTGAGGTAGCTTGCCATCAGCTACACATTGACCTGTTGCCAAACCGGTGATCCAAAAAATGAGACATTTCACACCCGAGCGAGTGGCGATCATCAAAGCAGAAATTGACAAGCTATTGGAGGCCGGATTCATAGAATAAATAACACATTTAGTATGGCTTGCCAACGTCATGTTAGTCATGAAAAAAGAGAATAGCAAATGGAGGGTTTGCGTAGGCTACACCGACCTCTACAAAGCATGCCCAAAATATCCTTATCTGCTTCCCCGAATTGATCTATTGCTGGATTCAACATCTGGGAACCAGCTGCTTAGCTTCTTGGACATATACTCCAGCTATAACCAAATAGCCATGTACGAGCCCAACAAGGAGAAAACCGCGTTCGCGATTATGTAAAGCACATGTTGTTACAAGGTCATGTCCTTTGACCTCAAGAACACAGGAGCCATTAACCAAAGGTTAGTAAACATGATGTTTAAGAAGCAAATTGGAGTAACTATTGGCAACCTGGCAGAAACTTTCTGCATCTTTAGGAAGTACAAGATGAAGCTCAATCTCACCAAATGCACATTTGAGGTATCTTCAGGCAGATTTTTAGGGTACCTAGTAACCTAACGAGGTATCGAAGCACATCCCAAGCAAATCCGAGAGATCCTAGAAATGAAATCTCCAACCACCTTGAAGGAGATCCAAAGCTTGACCGGACGAGTAGTCGCCTTCAACTGCTTTCTTTCAATGCAAGCTATTTTTCAAGGCCATCAAGAAGGCACAACGAGACAAATGGGATGAAGAGTGTGAAAGAGCTTTCCAAGACTTGAAGAAGTATCTCACATCACCTCCCTTACTATCCAAGTTAGAAGCAGTGGAGGACTTATACATCTACTTGGCAGTCTCAAAAGTAGCAGTGAGCTTTGCCCTCATACGAGAATAGCTAGGGGCCCAACTACGGTATTCTATATTTCTAAAGCTCTTCTCAATATGGAAACTAGATAGTCGAAGATCGAAAAGTTAATTGTGGCGTTAGTTGTTGCTACTCAGAAGCTCAAACCATACTTTCAAGCTCATACAGTCATCGTCATGACTCAATATCCTCTATAATCAATCTTACATGGTTCAGACGCTTCTCAACGAGTGATGAAATGGGCATTGGAACTTGGCCAATACGGTTTAGTTTTCTAACCTTACACAACAATAAAAGCCCAAGCCTTGGCGGACTTCATAGCAGAATTCACGCCTAGCTTGGGCAACGCAACAGAGTGGCCCAATGACGCCCCAGAAGTAGCTGAACACACCTTAGCCATGCCTGCTCTCGCCAATGGAGACTTTTGGCATTTGCATGTCGACGACACATCCAACTACAAAGGTTGGGGAGTAAGTGTGGTCCTTGTCACCCCAAACGGTTCAATGCTTGAGCAGATGATCACTCTAGGCTTCAAAGCATCCAACAACGAAGCAGAGTACGAGTAGTAGGCCTCCGAATGGCAAACGACTTGGCGGTGAGAAAGCTCGTAATTCATTTCGATTCTCAGCTAATCACCAACCAAATTACTGGGAGTACATGGCAAAAGAACCAAGGATGACGCTACAAGGTTATGCCCTTTGGCCTCAAGAACGCGGGAGCCACTTACCAAAGGTTAGTAAACATGATGTTCAAGAAGCAAATTGGAGTAATTATTGAGGTTTATTTCGACGAGATCATGGTAAAGGGCAAGCAGTGGTTAGACCACATCGGCAACCTGGCAGAAACTTTCTGCATCCTTAGGAAGTACCAGATGAAGCTCAATCTCACCAAATGCACATTTGGAGTATCTTCAGGCAAATTCTTAGGGTACCTAGTAACCCAACGAGGAATCGAAGCACATCCTAAGCAAATCCGAGAGATCCTAGAAATGAAATCTCTAACCACCTTGACGGAGATCCAAAGCTTGACCGGACGAGCATTCACCTTCAACTGCTTTCTTTCAATGCAAGCCCTTTTTCAAGGCCAACAAGAGGGCGCAACGAGACAAATGGGATGAAAAGTGTGAAAGAGCTTTCCAAGACTTGAAGAAGTATCTCATATCACCTCCCTTACTATCCAAGCTGGAAGCAGCGGAGGACTTATACATCTACTTGGCAGTCTCAGAAGTAGCAGTGAGTTCTGCCCTCATACGAGAATAACTGAGGGCCCAACTGCTAGTATTCTACATTTCTAAAGCTCTTCTCGATGTGGAAACTAGATAGTCGAAGATCGAAAAGTTAATTTTGGTGCTAGTTGTTGCTGCTTGGAAGCTCTAACCATACTTTCAAGCTCATACAGTCATCGTCATAACTCAATATCCTCTATAATCAATCTTACATGGTTCAGATGCTTCTCAACGAGTGATGAAATGAACATTGGAACTTGGCCAATACAGTTTAGTTTTCCAACCCTTCACGACAATAAAGGCCCAAGCCTTGGCGGACTTCATATCAGAATTCACGCCTAGCTTGGGTAATGCAATAGAGCGGCCCAACGACGCCCTAGAAGTAGCTGAACACACCTTAGCCACGCCTGCTCCCGCCAATGGAGACTTTTGGCATTTGCATGTCGACGACGCATCCAACTACAAAGGCTGGGGAACAAGTGTGGTCCTTGTCACCTTAGATGGTTCAATGCTCAAGCAGACGATCATTCTAGGCTTCAAAGCATCCAACAACGAAGTAGAATACGAGTCCCTAATAGCAGGCCTCCGAATAGGAAAAGACTTGGTGGTGAGAAAGCTCGTAATTTATTTCGATTCTCAGCTAATCACCAGCCAAACTATTAGGGAGTACATGGCAAAACATCTAAGGATGACGCAATACCTAGAGAAAGTACGTAAGCAACTTGAGGCATTTCAGACTTACAATATTACTCAAGTTCCGTGGGCAGACAACACCCGTATAGATGAGCTAGCTGGCCTAGGCTCCGCTCTCAACCATCAACTTAAACGCTCTATCCCCGTGGAGTATCTAAACAAGCCAAGCATAGAGGCGGAGCTGGCAACCAAAGTGTCACATGTTAGTATAACTCTTAACTAGCAAAGTTCTATTATAGACTACCTGGTCAATGACACACTCCCCACGGAAAAGTTGGAGTCTAGAAGGCTCCAAATAAAGGCAGCATGTTACTACATATGGAACATCATTCTCATTCGAAGGCGTTTGTGGAAATCACTCCGGAGGCCGATCCTTAACGTAGGCTACTATTGGCCTACCATGCATCAAGACGCTAAGGAATTAGTGTAAAAATACGATCGCTGCCAATGCTACAAGCCAGTACCAGCACTGCACGCTCAAGATCTTGAATCTGAGGTATGTAACACCCGATCTCTTTCTCTGCACTTTCATACTTTACTTGGATCGCATTAAGCCTAGTCTTCAAATCCACGATCTCTTGGCAAACGGTCTCAAGCTGCAGAGAAGTGGGGGTAGAGATATTAGACCCCTTCAAAGCAGCAAGCTCATATTCCAACTTCTTGACTTTCTCGACCAAGGAATAATCTTCGGTTGCCACAGTTCTTGCCACTTCTTTGGCAGCCTTGGTATCTTCTTGATCAAGGAACATAGACTCGGCTGCCAGAATCACCATTTTCTGCATCATAGCCAGTAGAGTAGTTCTCATATACTCGGTTGTATG